TAAATAAATAAATAAATAAATATAAATAAATAAATATATATATATATATACATATATATGGGTGGATAGATACAATCGGGGGGTGAGCATATGTATGCACGCCATAGGCGGTTGGGGGGCGGGCGGAGGGTCGTACTATAGATAGTTGTTTTGTTCCTTTTCGGCTGAAATTTTCGCATTTTTTCATATTTTTTACTTTTTAATGAAATATTAAATCATTTTCTTTCGAATTTCCTCAAAAAAGCGCGACAATTGCGGCAGAATTCGCCCCAGCAGCCGTTTTTTTCGTGGCGGTGGCGGTGTGTGATGTTCTAGAGAGCTGCCTATACACCCCAATCGAGACCCAGTTTCTGCATCGTGCATCGCTGCGGCGCAAAAAAAAAAAAAATAAAAAAAGTAAAATATTTATAAATTAAAATAAAAAGAATGAATTATTTATTTCTTTTAAATAATATTCTTTTTTTTTAATTTTATTTTTATTTTTTTTATTTTATTTCAAATATATAAACACCCGAAAATATCATGCGGCGATAGCTCAGTTGGGAGAGCGTTAGACTGAAGATCTAAAGGTCCCTGGTTCGATCCCGGGTCGCCGCGCTTTTTTATAAAAAATAAATTTTTATATAAAAAATATTAATTATTTTTTATTATATTTCTTAATCTTGTTTTATTTAACCCCTTTTGACACACCGCAGCATTCCTGCTGCTGTTGCTGCTGTTGCTGCTGTTGCTGCTGCTGCTTCTATACGCTGTACGCTCTCCTGTTGTTGCTGCACACTATCACCTGCTGCTACTGCTGCTGCTGCTGTTGCACACTGTAACCTGCTGTTGCTGCTGCTGCTGCAGCTGCTGCAGATGGCTTTGCAAGCGCAAGGGATGCACTTGCTGCAGCACCGGCCTTCTGTTCATCCCATCCGTTGCTGCTGCTGCTGCTGCTGCTGCTGCTGTTGTTACAGTTGCTGCTGCTACAGTTGCTGCTGCTGTAGCTGCTGCAGCAGCTGCTGCTGCTAGTCTGTGTTAGAGAGGGATGGAGATAAGCGAAGCAGCAGAAGCATATGCTGCTGCTGTCTGTCTATATCAGGTGTATGTACACCTATTTTTTTTTTTTTATTTTTTCTTTTTTCTTTTCTTTCTGCATCCACTAATATATTTCTCGATTGCAACAGCAGCTCATCTCCTCCTTATTCTTAATATTGTTATGGATATTATAATTTTTTGTTTTATTTTATTTTATTTTATTTTTGTTTCTTTCTCTATTTCTGTTTCCTTCTTCTATTGGTTTTCATGTTATGTGTTTGTTTGGGTGCAGCAACATATATTACAATTAATATTATAATTTATATAACATACATATATATATATATATATATATATATATATATATATATATATATATTCTGTGTTTACTTTATTTTCCTTGTCTTTCTTTTGTTGCTGTTTTCGTCTTCACCTAAAATATGAAAAATAAATTTTGTTTTTTATTTAAATTAAATGCGGCAGCAAAACCGAAAAAACAGAGAAAAAGTTTTTGTTGTTTTTGGGGTGTATGTGCAGCTCAGGTGTACATACACCCCAGAATATATAATATATATCGTTGGCTAGCATTTTGTGTGTATAAACGCATAAACAAAATAATAAATAAATAAATAAATAAATAAATTAATTTATTTATTTATTATAATTCATAAATATAAATTTACGCTGCAGAAAAAAACCAACATATTCAGGTGTATGTATCTGCCTATACACCTATATATATATATATATATATATATATATATATATATATATATATATATATA